TATAGCATTAGCGTGTAAGGACAATAGCCATTGCCATTGCCCCACTAACAGATCGAAAATCGGACGAATATTCTTAGGTCCAATTTTCGAGCGAAAAATCGTTCAGAAATCGACCCAAGTATTGGTGGCCTTAGGGTTACATCTAAACTTTCTTGGCCAACATGATACAATGTTTCAAGTTGCCCGTGAGGCTGGCATTGCGGCGCCGTGTACGTTTACTTATCGCATTATTGTGTAAGGACAATAGCTATTGCCATTGCCCCACTAACAGATCAAAAATCGGACGATTATTCTTGCATCCGATTTTCGAACGAAAAATCGTTTGGAAATTGTCCCATGTATGGCTGGCCTTAGGGTTACATCTAAGCGGGGGCGGACTGACCATTTGGAAACTCGGGCACTGCCCGAGAGCCCGGGGTCAGTAGGGGGCCCCCTGGTACTTTTCATAGGCTTTTTTGGGTGTGGTTTGAGTGTGGGAAAGGACACAGGGGCCCCATGATCCCCTATTGCCCGGGGGCCCATGAGTTGTCAGTCCTCTCCTACATCTAAGCTTTCTTGGCCAACATGATACAATGTTTTAAGTTGCCCGTGACGCTGGCATTGCGGCGCCGTGTACATTTACTTATCGCATTAGCGTGTAAGGACAATAGTCATTGCCATTGCCCTACTAACAGATCGAATATCAGACGATTTTTCTTGGATAAGATTTTCAAATGAAAAATCGTTCAGAAATTGACCCATGTATGGCCCGCCTTACATCTAAGGTTTTTTTGGCCAACATGATACAATGTTTCAAGTTGCTCGTAGCGCTGGCATTGCGGCGCCGTGTACGTTTACTTATCGCATTATTGTGTAAGGACAATAGCTATTGCCATTGCACCACTAACAGATCAAAAATCGGACGATTATTCTTGCATCCGATTTTCGAACGAAAAATCATTTGGAAATCGACCCATGTATAGCTGGCCTTAGGGTTACATCTAAGCAGGGGGGGACTGACCATTTCGGCACTTGGGCACTGCCCGAGGGCCCGGAGTCAGTAAGGGGTCCCATGAGATGCCCCTGGTACTTTTCATAGGCTTTTTTGGGTGTGGTTTGAGTTTGGGCAAGGACACAGGGGCCCCATAATCCCCTATTGCCCGGGGGCCCCATGAGTTGTCAATCCGCTCCTGCATCTAAGCTTTCTTGGCCAACATGATACAATGTTTCTAGTTGCCCGTGAAGCTGGCTTTGTGGCGTCGTGTACGTTTACTTATCGCATTAGCGTGTAAGGACAATAGTCATTGCCATTGCCCCACTAACAGATCGAATATCGGCCGATTCTTCTTGGATCCGATTTTCGAATGAAAAAATCGTTCGGAAATCGACCCATGTATGGCCGGCCTTACATCTAAGTTTTTTTGGCCAACATGATACAATGTTTCAAGTTGCCCGTGAAGCTGGCATTGCGGCGCCGTGTACGTTTACTTATCGCATTAGCGTGTAAGGACAATAGAAAGTTACTTGTCCAATTAATGGAACAATTCATTTGCCGTTTATCTTGTCCTCGGTGAATTTCCGCCGCGCTCGGTTAAATACATACATTACGCCTCATTTTGCCGGCATCCTCTCTTCGGAAACCTGTTTATTAACAGCACAGCTGCAATTTCCCTATCAGCTGCGATTAACCTCCAGCTCTTCGCAAATATGAAAGTCAGGGAGCGGCGCTTTGCGATAGTAACGCTCCAATGCACTCATATGATGGAACGCGGCACCAATCCTCTGCCGAGGCCATCCTCCGGCGTGCCCCGCGCTCGTTATATAATGCATTGATGGATGACACATTAAGCCCGGTGTATATTTAGCCGCCATTACGGCGAAGGCGGCAGTCAGTGAAATTCATTTTCTATAAGTGATGGGAAAAAAAAAAATAATGATTGCGGGTCCTAATGGTCATGGGGGGGGGGGGGGGGGGGGGGGGCATTAGCATGGCAATGAGCTCTGACAAACACACAGAAAATCGTTTTCGAATGTCTAATCGGGTCATGTTTACAAGTGCGGCGACTCGGCCGCCGCTTGCCGGTAATCATGTTGTACAGTGCAAGGTGTCTGCAAAGAGCTGCTATTTGCGGCGTGGCCGGTTAATGGCTAAAATGGACCGAAATGGATTAAAACGCGCGCTTTCAGGGCCGGCGGACATTAAAATTCCAAGGCCATTTTATAATGCTGCCCAATTATGTCCTTCACTCGATTGTACTGATTTAGTACAATAAAAGGATATATCTGTATGAGAAAAGGGTCATTTGGCTGATTTATCTAGGTAATAAAATGAGGGTTATATGAAGCCGAACTCCTAGCGGGTTGTCAGACGCCAGATTTCATAAACAAAACCTAAAGGAAAACTCTGCGAAAACAAAAAAAAGAAAAAAAAAAAAAGCACATCTGGCAGCTATATAGGACATGGTCCGTGGGTGATTGTGACCCTTTCCGGAGATGTATTGATTTATTTATTTATTTCAGGTACTTTTATAGCACCGTCAATATATGCAGCGCTTTACATATATATTGTACATTCACATCGGTCCCTAACCCTCAAGGAGATGTAGAAATTTTCCAAAAAATTCAGGAAGGAGAAGGCAAACATCTAGGTCGTAGTCCATAGGTAATTGTGCTCATTTTTTGAGATTTAGGGATTGTCCAAAAATTTAGGAAGGAAAAGCCAAGCTTATAGAAGGTTGCCAGTCAGTGGCTTTCATAAACAATTGCTAAAGAAAACATTTAAATAAAAACATGATGTCATGCAGTTACATAGGTCATAGTCCATGGGAGACTGTGTTTCTTTTCTGAGATATATAAATTCTCCAAAAATTCTGAAAGGAGAAGGCAAACATCTAGAGGGATGTTGGACACCAGCTTTCATAAAAAATTGCTAAAAGAAAATTCAGGGAAAAAAAAAAATTAAAGTATGATGTCACGCAGTTACATAGGTCGTAGTCTATGGATGAGTGATTCTTTTCTGAGATGTAGAAATTCTCAAAAAAATTCAGGAAGGAGAAGGCAAACATCTAGCGGGATTTTGGACAGCAGCTTTCATAAAAAATTGCTAAAAGAAAATTCAGGGAAAAAAAATGAAAGTATGATGTCACGCAGTTACATAGGTCGTAGTCCATGGGTAATTGTGTTTCTTTTCTGAGATGTAGAGATTCTCCAAAAATTCAGGAAGGAGAAGGCAACCATCTAGCAGGATGTTGGACACCAGCTTTCGTAAACATTTGCTAAAAGAAAATTCAGGAAAATAAATAATTAATTAAAGTACGATGTCACGCAGTTACATAGGTTGTAGTTCATGGGTAATTGTGTTAATTTTTTGAGATTTAGGGATTGTCCGAAAATCCTGGAAGGAAAAGCCAAACTTATAGAAGGTTGCCAGTCAGTGGCTTTCATAAACAATTGCTAAAGGAGAACTCAGGGGAAAAAATTTTAAATAAAAACATGATATCATGCAGTTACATAGGTCATAGTCCATGGGTGACTGTGTTTCTTTTCTGAGATATAGAAATTCTTCAAAAATTCAGGAAGGAGAAGGCAAACATCAAGCGGGATGTTGGACACCAGCTTTCATAAAAAATTGCTAAAAGAAAAATTCAGGAAAAAAACATTTAAATTAAAGTATGATGTCACGCAGTTACATAGGTCATAGTCCATGGGTAATTGTGTTAATTTTTTTAGATTTAGGGATTGTCCAAAAATTCAGGAAGGAAAAGCCAAACGTATAGCGGGTTGCCAGACAGTGGCTTTGATAAACAATTACTAAAGGAAAACTCAGGGGAAAAAATTAAAAAAAAAAAACATGATGTCTCGCAGTTACATAGGCCATAGTCCATGGGTGACTGTGTTCCTTTTCTGAGATGTAGAAATTCTCCAAAAATCAATTTTTTAATTACACATGATGCAGCTACAGAAGTTGTGGTCCGTGGGTAATTGTGTTCCTTTTCTGAGATGTCGAGATTCTCTAAAAATTCAGGAAAGAGAAGGCAACCATCTAGCGGGATGTTGGACACCAGCTTTCATAAACAATTGCTAAAAGAAATTCAGGGGAAAAAAAATTAATGTCACGCAGTTACATAGATTGTAGTCCATGGGTGACTGTGTTTCTTTTCTGAGATGTAGAAATTCTTCAAAAGTTCAGGAAAGAGAAGGCAAACATCTAGCGGGATGTTGGACACCAGCTTTCATAAACATTTGCTAAAAGAAAATTCATGGGAAAAAAAATTTAATTAAAGTATGATGTCACGCAGTTATATAGGTCATAGTCCATGGGTGACTGTGTTTCTTTTCTGAGATGTAGAAATTCTCCAGAAATTCAAATTTTTAATTACACATGATGCAGCTACAGAAGTTGTGGTCCGTGGGTAATTGTGTTCCTTTTCTGAGATGTCGAGATTCTCTAAAAATTCAGGAAAGAGAAGGCAAACATCTAGCGAGATGTTGGACACCAGCTTTCATAAACAATTGCTAAAAGAAAATTCAGGAGAAAAAAATGCAAATAAAGTATGATGTCCCGCAGTTACATAGGTCGTAGTCCATGGGTAATAGTGTTCATTTTTTGAGATTTAGGGATTTTCCGAAAATTCAGGAAGGAAAAGTAAAACGTATAGTGGGTTGCCAGACAGTGGCTTTCATAAACAATTGCTAAAGGAAAACTCAGGGGAAAAAATTAAAATAAAAACATGATGTCACGCAGTTACATAGGTCATAGTCCATGGGTGACGGTGTTCCTTTTCTGAGATGTAGAGATTCTCCACAAATTCCGGAAATAGGAGGCAACCATCTAGTGCAGGGGTGGGCAACTGTGGCCCTCCAGCTGTTGTAGAACTACAAGTCCCATGAGACATTGCAAAACTGACCGTTACAAGCATGACTCCCAAAGGCAGAAGCATGATGGGACACCAACAGCTGGAGGGCCACAGTTGCCCACCCCTGATCTAGTGGGATGATGGACACACGGGCGGACTGACAACTCATGGGGCCCCCGGGCAATAGGGGATCATGGGGCCCCTGTGTCCTTGCCCAAACTCAAAAAAGCCTATGAAAAAGGTACCAGGGGCATCTCATGGGGCCCCCTACTGACCTCAGGCCCTCGGGCAGTGCCCGAGTTTCCAAATGGTCAGTCCACCCCTGGTTGGACACCAGCTTTCATAAACAATTGCTAAAAGAAAATTCAGGGAAAAAAATGCAAATAATAATAAGCATGATGTCATGCAGTTACATAGGTCATAGTCCATGGGTAATTGTGCTCTTTTTATGAGATTTAAGGATTTTCCACAAATTCAGGAAGGAAAAGCCAAACATATAGCGGGTTGCCAGTCAGTGGATTTGATAAACAATTGCTAAAGGAAAACTCGGGAAAAAAATTTAAATAAAAACATGATGTCACGTAGTTGCATAGGCCATAGTCCATGGGTAATTGTGTTCCTTTTCTGAGATGTTGAGATTCTTCAAAAATTCAGGAAGGAGAAGGCAACCATCTAGCGAGATGTTGGACACCAGCTTTCATAAACAATTGCTAAAAGAAAATTCAGGAGAAAAAAATGCAAATAAAGTATGATGTCAGGCAGTTACATAGGCCATAGTCCATGGGAGACTGTGTTCCTTTTCTGAGATGTAGAAATTCTCCAAATATTTAATTTTTTAATTACACATGATGCAGCTACAGAAGTTGTGGTCCGTGGGTAATTGTGTTCCTTTTCTGAAATGTCGAGATTCTTCAAAAATTCATCAAGGAGAAGGCAACCATCTAGCGAGATGTTGGACACCAGCTTTCATAAACAATTGCTAATAGAAAATTCAGGAGAAGAAAATGCAAATAAAGCATGATGTCCCGCAGTTACATAGGTTGTAGTTCATGGGTAATTGTGTTCATTTTTTTAGATTTAGGGATTGTCTGAAAATTCAGGAAGGAAAAGTCAAACGTATAGCGTGGGTTGCCAGTCAGTGGCTTTCATAAACAATTGCTAAAGGAAAATTCAGGGGAAAAAACTTAAATAAAAGCAAGATGTTAATCAGTTATATAGGCCGTAGTCCATGGGTGACTATGTTCCTTTTCTAAGATGTAGAAATTCTCCAAAAATTCAGGAAGGACAAGGCAAATATCTAGCGGGATGTTGGACACCAGCTTTCATAAACAATTGCCAAAAGAAAATTCAGGAAAAAAAATTAAATTAAAGCATGATGTCACGCAGTTACATAGGTTGTAGTCCATGGGTAATTGTGTTAATTTTTTAGGATGCATGGATTGTCTGGATATTCAGGAAGGAAAGGCCAGACGTATAGCGGGTTGCCAGACAGTGGCTTTCATAAACAATTCCTAAAGGAAAATGCCGCTGAGTTATTGGGAAATGCCCATTGGCAGAAGAAGATCCAAAGCAGACTTTGCATATTACGCGACAGGCCATGATGACTTCAGCGAAAGGTAGGCATAAAAAAGGTAACATTATAGTATAGTCAATGGGTGGCCTACACAGGATGGGGGGGGGCACTGGGGGACGGGGGGAGCACGAGCTGAGCCTGGAGTTGGGCTTTAAATTGGAGATGTGCACTGTATATTTCAGGCAACAGTATAAAAGGCTGATTGAGAGATGGTCACTAGGATCCCCAAGTGGCAGTTAGACCTTCTCATATACGTCGTGTGTCTAGTTTGGTGAATGGTCCGATGTCCTAATGGCAACATGGGCCAGGTTCGCACACCTGCACATTGGCATCCAGAGACAAGTCAAGAAGAGCCACCTGGATAAACATGACCGTCAGGGTAAAGCTGCTGTGGCCAGTCGAACCTAGTCAGTGTGAGGGGTAGGATCATAGTGCAATGGAGCAAAGAGTGAACATCAAGTTCTGCTACAAACTGGGAAAAACAGAGAGACATGAAATGTTAGTGCAACTGTACTGGATGGAAGCCATGAGCAGAAAATGTGTTTACGACTGGTTCAAACCAGGATCCCTCCTTTCTGCAAACCAATGTAGCAGGGAATGAGACCTGGTGCTACCAGTTTGATCTGGAATCAATGAAATGGCATTCACCATCTTCCCCGTAACCCAACAAGAGTCGCCTGCAAAAGTTCAAGGTCAAGACAATGTTGATGGCCTTCTTTGACAATGATGACATCATCCATAAGGAATTAATTCCCGTGGGTCAGTGAACTTTTCATTCTATGAGGAAGTTTTGAAAAGGTTGCTACGTGGCATCCTCCGTCTTCAGAGTTGCTCAGGACTGCACAGTGGATGTTGCTGCACAATAACATGCCTGCGCACTGTGTGATCCGTGTGCATCAATTCTTGGCTTGCAAAAGTTCAAGGTCAAGACAATGTTGATGTCAGGGTCCTACCTTTCCTCAGAGTTGGTGCTGCTCCATGTGCTGGCATCCATCTTAGGTTTCTGCAAAGCATGGTGGGAGCCTTTTATGCTTTCAGGCCTCTGCGGTCCCTCCCCCAGAAGGGTGTGGTTGATCACATTTAAGCCTGTTGTCTGTACTTGCTCTTTGCATTTGTGTCCTGTATGATTGTGTTGCAGCAAGCTCTTGTTCTACTCTCGTTGTTCTCCTGGAAACCGACTCAGCTTTGACTAAGACTATTCTCTGCCTTATCCCTTTATCTGACCTCCCGTTGCTGAACCTGGCTCGTGACCCGTGTATTATTGCCTACCGTCTTGTACTGTCTGTCCCGCTGTTATCGACCCGGCCTGTCCGACTACGCTATAGTTTCCCATCTGGTTCCCACCAGCTATACGCCACTGGCGGCGGCCATTACCGCAGCTGGGGTTACTCGGGGGCCGCGACCTGGTCCCTGGCTGCGTCAAGTCAATCCCCACCATCAGGGGCCCTGGTGAAAGGCAGCCTGGGGCTTAGACTCCGCGCCCTGAGGGACTCCGGTCTGTGGGTGGTGGCTGTCATCAGTCGGTGCGTGACCCTACCAGTAGGCCTGCCCGTCCATTCCACCGCTCCTGCCCTGACAGTTGATGGCCTTCTTTGACAATGATGACATCATCCATCAGGAATTAGTTCCTGCGGGTCAAACCGTGAACTCTGCATTCTACAAGGAAGTTTTGAAAAGGTTGCTATACGGTGCATCCACCGTCTTCAGAGTTGCTCAGGACTGGACAGCGGATGTTGCTGAACAATAACATGCCTGCACACTGTGTGATCCATGTGCACCAATTCTTGACTTGCAAAAGTTCAAGGTCAAGACAATGTTGATGGCCTTCTTTGACAATGATGACATCATCCATAAGGAATTAGTTCCTGTGGGTCAAACAGTGAACTCTGCATTCTACAAGGAAGTTTTGAAAAGGTTGCTACACCACATCCTCCGTCTTCAGAGTTGCTCAGGACTGGACAGTGGATGTTGCTGCACAATAACATGCCTGCGCACTGTGCGATCCATGCGTATCAATTCTTGGCTCAGCACGGCATACCTATTCTTGATCATCCACCATATTCCCCTGATCTGGCGCCTGTGGAATTCTTTTTGCTCCCCTGCCTGAGGAGCGTCATGAAAGGTTCATGTTTTTCAGAACATGGCGGCAATCCAAGAATGTGTGACAGTGGTTCTGCGATCGATTCCTTAAGAGGCCTTTGCTGACAGCTTTCTGCACGTTGCCAAAAGTGTGTTTTGGCGATTATTTTGAAGGTCAATCAAAGTAATAAGGCCAATCAAAGTAATTTATTTGTATCTTCTGTTTTGTCTGTTTTCTGATACCATTCACGAAACGTTATAGACACACCTCGTGTAACCTTCTGTCCCCAATTGTATGCCTCATGATTGGCTGGTAAGACACATATAAGCAGGAATGTTCTAGAATTGTTCTTACACCTTTCTAAAAACCAACCACCCTCTCCTTTTTATGTTTGTTTGTAGCACAGCATGGAAATTTAGAATCTTGTTTTACAGACTAGCAAGTGTACTTCTTCCTGTAGATAGCTTTGATCAGCAAGCCCTTCCTCAGACAGCCCATTTCATGCTTGGATTTACCGTCTCCTGCTGATTATATTTATATAACATTTAATGCATCGCTTTTTAGTGGATATCCTTAAAGCCTCACTCTAAATTGGCCCAATGACCTATTTGTAAAATTAAATCTCTTCTTTTGAAAACTTCCCCAAGTTTATCAGCCAGAATACCTTGTATGGTTTGACTCTAACAGGAAATCGTTCTTTACTTATCCGACTGAAGTTTTTCCATCCTTTGATATTTTAAATTCGGTCAAGTCTTCTAATCAGCATGGAGAGAGGAGACATAGACAGGTAAGCTGAGGAAATCCTACAGTTTCCCCAAGGATCTGTCTTTACATTACACAGCATTGCCAGGCAGGCCCTAATTAGCAGAAGACAGATAAGGCCAGATGAATACGGCAAATAAGCCGCCACGGATCCCATGTGTAGACACCGGTTTTATGATAATATTTACAATGAAGATATCCTCCATTGTCTCCCGGGACTGGTGCTGATGAACTTGAGCTTCGTGATAAGAATATGCAGAATAAATTGGAGAAGTATGAGAAAGTGTTCACCACCAAAGGGCACCCATCCAGGAGACTCAACAGTGAGGGGTCCTGTTTGCCCCCATACTGAAGAAGATTCAGCACTCCATTTAAGATATAGGTCTTTTATTGAAAATGGCAATCACCAACACATTTCAAGGTCATCTTTGTTCATGCAGCACAAAGAGGACCTACGAGTCCCCGAAATGTGTTAAACATGTGCAGACGAAAAAATTAGTATCGTATCGGATCAATTCGTTAAGTCACTAATTTTTTTTTTCGTTGCATTTGTAATGAAATTTGTATTGTTTATTAGTTTTTTGACCAGATTAAAATTTTTCAATGGTTTTGAAGTACTTTGTAGGGAAACACAGCTGCATCTATTCACAAAGACATGGCTTGGGAATCATCTGAAGAAGTAACAATCTAAGCACCATGTTTAGAAGATACAGCACCATGGACAAAGGACACAGTTTTAGCACTATGGACAGAGGGCACAGCTTCAGTTCCCTTGATAGAAGAAGCAACTCTAGCACCATGGACCGGGGACACAACTTCAGTACCCTTGGTAGAGGAAGCAACACTAGCACCATGGACAGGGGACACAGCTTCAGCACCTCTACTCTATCACCTCAACTCTATCACCATGGACAGGGGGCACAGCTTCAGCACCTCTACTCTATCACCTCAACTCTATCACCATGGACAGGGGGCACAGCTTCAGTACCCTTGGTAGAAGAAGCAACT